TGTAGGCTCCTTGCACCGAGCATGCCAGCCGAGCTAAACAGGTGGGTGTGCTACGTGTCCGATGCCTCACGAAGCTACACATCTGAGGAGCAGGCGGTTGACCAGGGGCCTGATATGGCTGAATGTTTGAGGGTGCCTCAGCCAGGCCCCAGGCACATTCATTGGGTTCATAACATCGCAAAATCAAAGTCACGTCCTGTTTTGGATGCCCTAATCGCGCCGAGTTGCATAGGCTGGATTGCCTGTCTTGCTGCTCTTTGCGGCCAACTCTGCCAAGGTGGCGGGATCAGCCTCCTGTGAGGTGCGAGCTCCATTGCCAGGGGCGAAAACGAGTTCTTCCAGACCTTCCCCCTCCACCGGAAACATAAAGCCTCCAATCTTACAACGTTGAAGGTTCCTAAAGATTAACGCAAGGAAGCCATCCCTCGTAGGTTGGAGGCCATCGCTAGTAGGTTGTTGGCCATGGCTATTAGGTTGGAGGCCATCCCTAGTAGGTTGGAGGCCATCGTCAGTAGGAGTAGGTTGGAGGCTCTAGGGGTGCCATGGGAGACCACAGGTCAACAGCGTCGCACAGCGCGGTTACGCACCTCTGGCATCACCCAAACCGCATTGATGCCGCCCGTGGGCGAGGCTTGAGACACGCCGTAAGCGGCACCCCTGGCAACCATTCTTTCATGAAGACCGTTGAGGTGAGGGATGGCTATCACAAGTATTTAATATGATTGGTTTCCTGGTTTCTGAACCACATTTGTCATTGGTAGTCTTCATAATCGGAAGTTGCCTCCTATTTTCGTGCCTGGGTCCATTGGCCAATACCTTCTGCGCATCCTGATACGGAGGCATCCCAATGACGCAAAGTAGCCCCTACTGTACTTCAAAAAACGCTCTGATTTGATCCGAGCTGCAAGCTTGTCAGTGGACCAAACAACATGCAACCACCATTCAACAAACACACACACACACATCATTATCAAAGAGCTAGGACCAGCTAGGACCAAGGTCTTGTTTAAGCATGTGTGACTCAATGACCTTTCACCAATTTTTTCTTTTACATTCTTCATTCAGGCTGAGGCTTGAAAACGCGTCCTATCCATTGCACCTCCGAGGCTTTGCTCTCTTCTTCCTCGATGGGGTCCCCTCGGAGCCATCCGACAATGCCCGAGACCTCAGGCGCTGTGAGCCTCGAACAAGTTCCGTTGGACAAAATTATCGCGCAAAAGGCTAGAGCCAGGTTGAAGGCCATCGCTAGTAGGTTGGAGGCCATTGCTACCAGGTT